AAGTAAGCTTAGGCCAACAACTTTTACCACACTTCACGTGTTACATTTTATATAGACATGTGACCTTAATATTAAAGATCTTATTATTAAAATAGAAGAGAAACAAATCATGTACTTCTTACGGATATAGGTAAGAGATGTATTCTTAACTAAGCAAGAGATAGAGGCAATTATAAAACAAAATAAATAACTTTGATTATTTGAAACTGAAACACTTCTATACAAACAATATTAATGCTAGATTAAAGATAAGAAGAGAAGTAGTAGAACAGGAAAAAAAAACCTTTGTATCAGATTATTCTGATGAGAGTTTGGTGTCCAAGATATAAACTTTACTAATGTGTGTGTGTGTGTGTGTGCACGTGTGTGTGTGTGCGTGTGTGCGTGTGTGTGTGTAATAGCCATTCCTCAGTAGATAAATGGTCAAAAGATAAGAATAAATTGTTCTCAAAAGAAAAAACTGCAAAGCATTCAAAACTACATAAAAAAGATCCAAATCACCAAGAGATATGTAAATCAAAACAAGACAGAGGGTTCAACTTACACCCTACGAATTGACAAAAATTTCAAAAAATGGCAATAGTCAGTGTTGGAGGGGTTGTGGAATGATGAGCACACTAGAACATTGTTGTTGGAGTTGTGAAGTGGTACAACCATTTTGGAAACAGTGTGAAAACAAATTAGTATACATGAACATAATGGAATACTTATGTGCTATGAGAAATGATGTGTGTAATAAGTACAAAAAAGCATGGGAAGATCTATATGAACCGATTCAGAATGAAGTAAGGCAGTGCTGTACAAAGTAATCAGTCTCACTCTCTCTTTCAGAGTCATCGAAGTCCAGGGGCAAGACAAAAGTCAAAATGACTGGCGATGGCCTGGGATACAGTGGATGACCTTGGCCTCTTTGAGGTCTGACCAAGATTTATGCACTCCACAGTGCCTGCTTCAGCTGCCTTCATAGCTGTTGGAACAAATTGTTCTCCTCTACCCATTCCACTGGGGGCACTCTTCACATACTTGGAGTAGACATCACCCTATTCACCGACAGGTTTGAGGCTTATTGGTTAACCTCAGACTGGTTTAGCACATCTGCTGAGGCAGTTTGCCAGGGTGTGCCTGCTGAGCATGCTAAAGTTTCTCAGAGCCACAGGTGAGAGTTGAGTGTTAGATGGTGGATGAGCAGCCCTGAAATGAGCTTGGTAATATGGTATAGATCATATCACACTCTGGAGCATTGAGGAGCCCCTTAATTAGAACTGGTCACTCAACAAAGTTCAGTTGGGGAAACCAAGTGGATTAAGCATACCTATTGTTCAAACTTGCTGTACTATTGGATGAACAACCCGTAGAGCTGGTTCATTAGAACGTATTTCTTGGACAAGCATTGTAGATAGACAATAATCTTGGAGCAGAATTTAGTAGTGAGGTTGTAGTCTGGATTGTCCTTAGGTAACTGTGTAGTACTTTTAATTACCACCAAATTCCTTCTTAAAATAAAAATTCATTTAAAAAAAAATCAATAATCTTCCAGTGTTTCTGGATGACCACAAGTCGAAGTACCTTAGTCTCTGAAGGACAGTAGTTATAGCCACCCCAGGACAATTAAGTCATACCTACATGGTAGGTATGAATAGGCTACTAGATATTAACAATAAAGAATTACTGAAGAGTAAAATCATAAAGCTATCATTGGAGATATGTATCATTGGAAAAGGAGAAACTCCAGACATGTAGTAAGAGTAAATGATGAATGATAAACAGTAGAGTGGTTCATTGATAGCTATAAAATATAAAATGATCAGTGGAGAAGGGAACAAACTCTTACTATGGCCTAGGCCAGGGGTGGGGAACCTGTGGCCTTGAGGCCACATGTGGCCCTCTAGGTCCTTGGGTGCGGCCTTTTGACTGAGTCCAAGTTTTACAGAACAAATCCTTTCATCAGGGGGATTTGTTCTGTGAAGTTTAGATTCAGTAAGTGGGCTGCACCTGAGGACCTAGAGGGTCATATGTGGCTTCAAGGCTGCAGGTTCCCCACCCCTGTCCTAGGCACATAGTAGTGCTTTACACTTGTAAACTTCTAAAGTACTTTACAAATACTATCTCGTTTGATCTTCACAAAACCCCATGAGCTAAGTGCTATTATTATTTCCATTTTACGGTGAAAGAAACTGAGACAAACAGAGGTTAGGTGACTTGCCCAGGGTCATGCAGCTATCAAGTATCTGAGACTAGATTTGAACTTAGCTCTTCCTGACTCCAAGCCTAGCTGTCTCTCTTCTGAACTACGGAGTTGCCTACAATTGTTTCAAATATTGTGTGGAAGATCTGTGGGAGAACATGGATAGTATTAGCACAGAATGAGAAGAGGTAGATAAGTTGGGATCTGTATCAATGGAGGGACTGTCCATGTCAGTGAGGTCACAGATCCATTGAAGATTTCATCTAAAAGAATTATTTTTTTAAATTTATCAACAATCACTTACATACGCTTTTGAGTTTTAAATTGTTCTCCCCCTTCCTCCCCACCACCCTCCGTGAGACAGCACACAATCTGATATAGGCTATATATATACATTCCTATTAAACATATTTTCATATTAGTGATGCTGTAAGTAAAAATTAGAACCAACAGGAGGAACCACCAGAAAGAGGAAACAAAATTCAACAGAAGAGAAAAAAACCAGCAAATAGTGTGCTTCTATCTGCATTCAAATCCTATAGTTCTTTCTTTGTATGTGGATAGCATTTTCCATCATGAGGCCTTTGGAAATGTCTTAGATTCTTGTATTGCTGGGAAGGGTTAAGTTTATCAATATTAGTCATCTCACAGTGTGGCTGTTACTGTGTACAACATTCTCTTGGTTCTGCTCACTTCATTCAGCATCAGAGCATACAAGTCTTTCCAGGTTTTTCTGAAGTCAGCCTGTTCATCATTTCTTATAGCACAATAGTATTCTATTACATTCATATACCACAACTTGCTCAGCCATTCCCCAATTAAAGGAATTATTTTTAATTAAAAAAAATACGCAGACTAAATTTAGTGTTTACTTCCATTTCCCAGTCATTTATGCAGGGAGGAAAACTTCTGAGGCCATATTATCCTAAACTAGTACCGTATGCCACCCAAGGTCAGCTACTGGGATTGTAAGGCAGTATGAAGAAGAAATTTACCCACCTGAAGAAGGTATCTCTTGCAAATCCAAACCAATTAAGGTGCTCAAATTCATTTTCCATTCAACTACACCCCTTTGGTCTTCATCATTCCCTAAGGAAAGTCATTATTCTACAAGACCACTTCAGGCTTATTGCTCACACCTTAGTATCCTCTGTTCTTGGAATCCCTCTGAATGGAGAGCAGAGCAGAGACTTCACCCCTCAAACTCCATTCAAGAGGGTGCCCAAGACAGCCATCTCTTCATTTCCCACCTGGCTGCATCCTTTGGATGCCATCATGCCCCTACACTGAGTACTTTCCTTTTCCCATTCCCGTTTTCAACTTCCTTTTGTGTATTGTCTTCCTTCATTAGTTCGTAAGCTTCTTGAGGGCAGGGACTATCATTTTTGCATTTGTGTCACCAGTACTTAATGTAGTAGGTGCTTATTAAATGTTTATTGACTATGAAATTTTCATATTGGTACCACGCTGTCCTTGCATGTTTCCTCTGGGAAGAGTAAGCTAGGGTTGATTACTTTGAGTATGAATCACACTGCAAATATGAGATTACTGATTCCTCAGATCTCTTTAGCAACCTCAGCAAGCATGGTTTATAGGTGGTCAGGGGGGGCACATAAAGTAAATTATGTGCAAGTAAACATGCCAATCTGTTCTTGAAATCACTAGATTTGAAAAGAGAGAGGTAGTAGGAAATACATTATTTCCATGTTACTTTCAGAAAATAATAGGGGTGACAGGCTCAAAAAAGGAGAGTCAATCAGTCAACTAACATTTTAAGAACCAAAGGAAAAGTGGGTCCTAGCTTTAAGGACTTGAGCTCATATGTGACAAAGACTCCTGGATGTGAAAGTCCCCTTCCTGTAGTACTCATCCTTGACTCTGTAGATACTGATGGTAGAGTGTGTCACAGACTTCTTAGAGGATATTTTGTTTCCATGTTCTTATTATTCTGCCTTAGTAAGGTATCCCTTTTTAAAGGCTTAATCAAGTTTGGCTGATTAAATACCAAGTGATAATCAATGGGGTGTGATAGGACTAGTATTTTCATTGACTCACTTTATTTCCTCCTACCCACAACATTGGGTTGCTTTCCTTAAAAAAAGACAAAGCTGCCCTTTGTAACCAGATTGGCCCTGCTTTACCTGATCAAGGGCATCAAAAGTCTCACTCAGTTGGAGTCTGGGTCTCTCAGATTTGGTGGGTTTTTTTTTTCTTTTTGGTCCATTAAATCTTCGATTTTGTAATCAAAAAGTCAATACAAGTTCAAAGATTCATAATTATTTCTTTGCCTTGAGGAAGAATATCCCTGAGTTCGGCACTGTACTCCTCACCAAAGGAGGGGAACAAATAGGCTGCTTGGCTTTTAAAAAGAATGATGACAAAGGAATAAGTGGAAAGCAGCCTCAGTGGCCACAGCAACTTTCTTCAGACACATTATTTGAATTAAACACACAACTTGTGAATAATAGTCCCAGGGTCAACCCTGACCTACATATGAACGCTGGGTCCCCCGAAGGCAGTTAGTACATCTACAATGCTGGGCCAGAACCTTGAGGGACCAGGGTGGGTGAGGGGTTGTTATTGTTGGTGGTGGTGGTGGTGGTGGTGGTAGCCTTCTAATGCTCTATCTCATGAGCCCCCATCGGTGTACTGCCCTTGCCCCATTGGAGGCAAAGCTCCAATACCAGTGTTCTCTAAGCTTAGGTAAAATTTCGGGTTGAAATGAAGCACTTGCAAGTCACTAAGCATTTACAAAAGGAGGTTTGCTTTACCCTAACACGACATGTACATGCAACAAGGAGACAGTAGAACATACCTTCTCTGGACACAGCTTCCCTCATCTCCATATAAATGACAGCAACACTAATGGATCTAGTATGCACCAGGCACTGTGCTAAGCATGTCCCACATATTCTTCCATTTGATCCTCACAGCTCTGAGAGGTAGATGCTGTTATTATCTCCATTTTATATCTGAGGAAACGGAGGCAAATAGAGGTTAAGTGACTTGCTCAGGGCCACACAACTGACAAGTGTCTGAGACTAGATTTGAACTCTGGTCTTCCTAACTCTAGGCCCAGTACTCTATCTACTGTAGTACCTTGTTACCTCGTGGAAGCTTGTCTGGTCAGTGGGTCATCAGAGTATGATGGCTTGAGTAGCCTTAGGCACCCATTATGTGAATTAAACACAAAACTAGGAATAGCAAGTCTGAGTAACCAGTTCAGCTGTTGCTTTCATTAGGCAAGGAGGAGCAACATTTTGGCAAACAATTCACATTGGGGCTGCCTAGAGGAGAGAAAACCGGATTCAGAGCCTGATAAAATAAAGGGCTGAAGGTAGCTTTTCTCTCTCTCTGGGTACTTCTGCTTGGAGTCACCACTCATTTCATCACCTATTCCCAGGATGAAAACAATGCCAGGTCTATTACCTCTCAAACCTCTCTCTCTGCGTCCTTGGAGAGGAGTGACTCCGTGCCAAAGGAGCTAATTGGGCCTGACCTTCTGTAGACACATTCATACCCTGCTTCACTCCAGGCAGAACCCAAATGTGTAATTCTCATTCTATGGATGCCAGCTTAGAAAGCATCAATCATCATAACCTCATTATTCATCTGGTTATTTTCATGGCAGATCATTGGGGAATAAAAACCATCAATAAATCATAATATCATTCCAGATTATACTAATAACCTGGGCAGTGCTGTGGCATCGGTGATAGCTCCGTGTGTGATGCCCAGAGCGGCCCACGTATTGTACTCTGCTGGACTGGAAAACAGACAGAAGGTACATTATTGCTCTCACTTCAAATGTGGATCTTACCGCCGCTCTCTCTGTGCATCTGGACATGCGTTCTTCTGAATTCCCGTGTTATAATTTGTGGGCACTACTAAGTAACCACCATTGCAGATGGTCAAGGTCATATAGTGGTGTGAGTTATCCAGAAATGAGTTCTAGTACAGGCTCTAGTCCTGACTGGTTGTGTGCCTTTAATCACCAAAAATGTAACTAGTTATGTTGGTATTTAAAGACAGTAAAGCAAGATACACCTGAGGCACGCGCCACAAAACAGTGCACCAGACGGGTAGTTATGACTACTCAAGGGCAGGGTGACCAGGGCTTGCTTTGACTTTGCGTGGAGGGATATGGCTGGGACTTGTGGTTCCCCGCTCCCGTGGCCTCCCCACCCATTACCCCTTCCATCCCTGCACCAAGTAGTCCTTCTTCAACCTCTGTCTACTCCAATTAAATTGGGACACTAATGTTTGGTGAATAGTCTCCACAGGCTTGTTGTAAAGACCAAATTAGATCACAGATACGAAAGCAGTTAAGAAAGTGGAGAGTGCTATAAAATGGAAGGGGTTGTTATTAGAGTCTTCTCTTTCTTAACCTTGCATTTCGCTGTCACCTCTGTAGTAATGGTTTTCTATGAATTTGGGGATCTTAGACGTCCTTTCCTTTCCTCAGAAATAATCAAGTTAAATAAATCGGGCTGGCTTTGTTTTGCTGTTGAGTCATTTCAGATGTGTCTGACTTTTGTGACCCCATTTGGGGTTTTATTGGCAAAGATGCTGGACTGGCTTGCCGTTTCCTTCTCCAGCTCATTTTACAGATGAGGAAACTGAGGCAAACAGGGGCAAGTGAAGGGTCATCCAGCTCAACGTCATGTAGTTAGTAAGTGTCTGAAGCTGGATGTGCACTCATGAACATCAGTCTTCTTGATCCCAAGCCCAGCGCTCTCTCCACTACACCATCCAGCCGCCCTGGCTGTTTTGGGGGATTGGAATTAGTGAAAGTTTAAAGCCTGGTCTTTTACTTTGTTGTGTATGTTCTCAGGATGCAAAAGCTACAGAATTGTTCGAGTTGGAAGTGGTGGCTTGTTACTCAGTCTTGGTTATTGCACCATGGTTTCTTATGTCTATTAGACAGAAGTTAATTGCTAGGTTAAACTCAGGGGATGGGGCCTCCCTTATGCCATGCAATTCTTTTTGACATTCACTACTCTTTTTTTTTTTTTAGTGAGGCAATTGGGGTTAATTGACTTGCCCAGAGTCACACAGCTAGTGAGCGTTATGTGTCTGAGGTAGCATTTGAACTCAAGTCCTCCTGACCCCAGGGACAGGGCTCCATCCATTGTGCCACCTAGCTGCCCCAACATTCACTACTTTTTCAAGAAAACTTGGGTTTTCAAAAAGTATCAAGATAAACTTATTTTTATGAAAAAATTGTTGTCTAAAATCTAGCCCACCTGAAGAAACCAGATGTCATTCATGGCTGGAGGGGGTTTTCACTTCATTTTTCTCAGTTCTTCCCAGTTTCACAGGTGGGTTGGTTGAAGGAAGCGTGCACGAACACACACAGACACACAGACACAGACACAGACACGGATATAGACACAGACACAGACACAGACACACACACACACACACACACACACACACACACACACACACACACACTCACACTCTAGCAAGCACCAGGAGTGACAGTTTTGATTTTCTGGCCTGGAAGGAGATAGAGATATGCAAGTTCATTTCTCTGGAAATTTAAGCCAATAAATACCAGAAGCAAAATTGTTAGGTAGGTGAAATTTCATTCACATACTACACACCTCACAGAATCGTAGACTTGGGAGGGGCTTTGGGGGTCATCTGGTTCAACCAATATTTGAATAAGAATTCTTCTTCAACATATTACAGAGGCTAGTCCCCTAGTCTTTGCTTTAAGATCTCTCCTATTCCCTCCCATGTCAAACTATTCCACTTTGGGATAGCTCTAATCATTAGAAAGTTTTCATTTATACAACAGGGATTTTAGAACATGTCCAGATCCTCTAAGATGGTGGCAAACCTGTGGGAGATGAGTTTCTGGGAGAAGGCATTCTACAGTTGAGTGCAATGTCTTTCCATTATCTTCAGATCCAGAACTGCCTGCATCTTTAAAACTGCCAGACTGGGACAAGTCTCTTTCTCTTTCAGGTAGAATCCAGGGATGGAGGGCTCATTCACCCATAGCATGGGCATCATTCACTAAACTGGGTAGGGAGAAAGGGCTACATTCTCCTTACCCTTAGGCTTCCTTACCCTTAGGCCTCCCCTTACCCTGTGGCCTTGAGAAATGGTGGGCTTTGTTCTGTTTTATTTGTCCTTTTCAGCTGTGGATGCAAAGTCCTGGAGCTAAGGGGTTGAGCCATGATGATCTAGGATCCAGGATTGCACCCAAAATGTTGTTCCCAGCCTGGTGTGGAGGCCCCAAGAAGCCAGAATGCTAAAACATAAACCCAAGGGGGCTTTGGACTTGGAATCTGGTAGGACTAATGTTATGTAAGAACTGAGTTAAACTGACCTAATCCCCCTCCCCTCCCCAGAGACAGGGTGTGTTGGGGAGAATAAATTATGTCCCTAGTTGTTAGGGGGGATGTATCTATGTTTGTTCTTGCTATACCTCTGACGTAAACATACCTTTTTTTTTTTATGAAGGCTAATATGATTGTTGGGTGGTTAAATGGAGCTGGGGTTCTAAGGATCCCTAAAATTGGGAGAACACAACCTGTATGGATTTGAATCAGGGGCAGAGTCTAGAGACACTCCAATCCGCTGGATACCAGAGAATATTGCAGAAGGTGTGGAAATGTAATGGACCTGATCTTCAGGTAGTATTCCGCTTACATCATTTCTCAGCTCACCTCTTTATAGTTTCCACTGATTGTTCTTCGAGGCCATATAGAAAAGTCTAATTCTTCAGGAAAACCTTTCAGATACTAATCTGGATCATCATGTTACCTTTAAGTCTTCACTTCCTAGGCTAAACATTATCATTCTTTTAAGTGACCCTCGTATGACTTACACAGGAGGCCTTTCGGCATCCCAGAGACCCTCCTTTGGGGAGCATCTTTGTTTTCTAATGTATTAGTGACTTAATGTGTTGCATTTGCATTTTAAGAGAGGAGTGTGGACAGGGCAATGTTGAACCAATAGAAATGCCTTTCCATTGGTGGAACATAATCCTGGACAAAAGGAAATATTTTTTCAGCTAGGGGACTTTATGATGTCTCCTTAAGTCATAGCACATAGGTGACTGCTTGTGTATAAGCTAACCCTGCCAAAAATTGGCCATAAATTTTACTATATTTTAGGAGGAAGATCTTCAGATAATTTTCAAGGAAAACCTGTAGAACTGGAGACCTGTCTAACAGAGCCACATTTATGAATTCTGGCAGCTAGGGGAAAATTCATTTTGAGGATAAGGATTTACAAACCAAGGACTTAGCCAGCCCCAAAGGGTGTTCAATCTTGAGCAGAGGGTGTAAAATAAATAAAAAAAAACTGCACTATTTAACTCAACAGACATTGGACTTTGGTGCTAACAAGGCTACATATGAAGTCTCAATGTGTGCCAACTTTTTAACCAAGCAAGCCACATACACTTAACTTACGTGAACGGACCATCCTCATCACTCTCCTCAACTTGGTTAAATTTAGCCGAGACATCAGATAGGGGTAGCAGAGGGGAGAAACATGGTGAGATCCTGGGAGTGTTGGAGTCAGATGAAGGAGTAGGCCTTGAACATAGTACAAGGATGGCAGAAATGCACCTCTACCTTTACTCCTATATTCCCTGAGAGGAGGTCCCATTCTACTTGAAACTCTGCAAGACATTAGCATTGTCGTTGAGTAGCCCAACCAGCCCTGCAATCACATTTAGGTCTCGGTGAAATACACAGGTAGGAATAAGCCAACTGCATGCCTGAGTACAAACATAAATCTCTTTCCCTTTCTCCTCCCCGAAAAGTTCTTAAGTAATTCATGTTAAGAAAACAACTCTGTGTTCCCTTTCTGTGCTTGCTTAGGAAAAACATCTCTGGACTTTTTCCATTGCAATATCATGTCTCCCTGCAAA